GATTTAACGACTACACTACTTTTACCCCCTTTTCCCCAGCTAGCTGAACACACACATTCGGCCGATGTATAAAACCACGATAAAACTTAAATTCCAACACGTTCACTCGTGCACTTTTCGTCTGCGGCGTAGTCTTGCGTTCATAGTCGCGTACATAATAGAGATGAAATCGAACCGCCCTTGCATTTAATTTCACTGATATAAACCCCTTGAAATATCACAGTAATTGAACAAACATAGAATATCACTAACATCAATCAGAAATTAACGCTGTGCTCACAAATCGTTATATTGAAGTCACTTATTTACAACATTGCAGCATTTGGTGAGACTATGCTCGGCTCGTTACTAAGGACGCTCAATACCGCGGCGCGCCATTTTGTATGTTGTGGTTTTGGGTGTGGAACCATAGCCGTATTCTCTAAAGTGAGCAAAGATTGCAGATCCCAAAGTTTAACGGCATACGATATGGGCTGTGAATTAAGAAGTTTGCAAATTCTATCTAACTTTTTTAAAATAAATGTGAATTCCATGTTGTTAAGTGTACCTTTCTGGGCTTGGAATCAAATGACACTTAAAAGTTTAAAAGATCTCTCGGATCGACGTTTGCTTGTCAGCTCTCAAAATCGCATTGACAAGTTGACGACCGTTTCTTTTATATAGAACCCACCCTGTTAAATAATGTTACCATGTGACGTCATGACATAAATTGTTTCTATACATTGCCAAAGAACAGGTTTACATGGATAAGTGACTCTTTTCTTGTTACATATTTTTTGCATCATCGCTCTTTCGCTTTCCTTTCAACTACTAGTATAGAACACCCGGGCCACAAAAGTAAAGGGAATGTTCACACATCGTAGTGATATTGGTGTTGGAGGGGGGGGGGGGGGCGGTGAGCTGAGGTTCGAGGTAGGAAGAACTTTTTTCGAAATCGAAAGTACAGGAACGTGTGTCCATTGAAACGATCGGCTGACAAAACATTTCCTGTGTCATAAACGTGCAATTAGGGTGGACATTTGATTATGGTCAAGCAGTTGATATCCCCTTTTCCAGACTGCTCTCGAACCGTTTCAAATGTACTTTTAATGAAGCACAAATTACCATGGTGAAAGGGTTAGGCGCCTCCGCTGCGCTTCTACAAACACGCCCATTAACAGGACTTGGTTTGGGCATGGTAGGTCCATGGTTTGGGAAACGGAATAATCAGGATTGTCCAATCTTTGAGTTGTAGGTCTACGCCCCCCCCCCCCCCTCCTCCCAGCCCGTTTTCTACATGCTTTCAGACTGGAAGTTCCCCCTTCCCCTTCTCTATCCTCGCATTACCAGGCTGTATCTCAACTTAATGTAACTTAATTTTGTTCATCATTAATATGATACATGTGCAGTAGGAATATATAGGCTATTGGTAGTATATAGCAAATATATTACAAACTTTACTCCATTAAGAAAAAAAAAAAAATATATATATATATATATATATATATATTATGTATATGATTTTCTAGCCGAAATATTGAAGTGCCTCTGCTGGAAGGGGGGGGGGGGGCTATAAATTCAGGCCATGTGTGTACCAGTGTATCGAACCCTGAACCTTCACACACCCAGATTAATTGTTGCCATATGAACCTCTGTATAGAGGTTATGAAACATATCTAAAAACACATTATTTTGATTAGTAAAAATAAACATATCGCAGTGCTATTCTCGACGCCTGTAATATCAATATCTGACAAAACAAATCAAAACGGGCTTATAGATCAATTAATGACCATTGTATTATCTTTCACATATTGTTTGTCTCTCGACAAAGTCTCAAGAAATGAATTAAAGCCGGATGTGCTATATTTTTCTTCCTCATTCTGTTGAGTATTGAGACAAATAAATAGACCTACATTTCCCTCCGGCCGCAAAGAATATATGCAATTTCAACAAATTTGATCAAAGTTTCTACGACATATCCCGACCTTTTTCCACGTCACACGTCAAATTAAGTCACCAAAATTCAACCTGTCCACAGCAAACAAAATTTGCGATCGCACAGTTTTCGTTAAAATTTTTCAATTCACAAGCAATTTTTTTCCTTGATTTTTTATGATTATTTTTTTCGCTAATGAAGGACAAAATGACGTGATCTATAGGCCTGGTTGTGTGTGTATGTACGTGGCGATGGAGTGTGCGCCCCTCGAGTTTTTATAAATAGTAACTTCTGCCTAGCACCAACCAGAGTCGAGGGAGAGACGATTGTATAGAGTAGCGCTTGCATGCATTTTGTACGAGTGACGACACAGCCGCCGTCCACAAACTCATGTTTTATGCATGAATTCCGGGGAGCGCCGATCATTGGTTTAACGTTCGCGGGCTTGGCGCGCCGTGATCACCACTGTTGCCTAGGCCAAATCAATTGATAAACTTTCCTCTTTTATATGTGTATTTAATAGTAGTTTGATGATATCATGTCAATTAATCTGAAGATAGTCGAAATGCTAACTATTTAATCTTATTTTGAAGCCTTTAACCATATCTTCTACGAATACAAGTCATGTTTTGATAAATTAAAACTGCATAGCGAAATAGCAGCGATATGCATTTCAACGCCATTCAGTTTTTCCCAGGTTCCTGGCTATGATTATATGAATGACAATTCTTCAGAAGGCCCGCCTACAAAATCGTCGCGGGAAAACTATTAGAATTGTGGGAGGTTTAATTTTCCTACCTAATTTTGCACTAATTTGTTTGTGTACAATAAAACATGCAAAGATTAAAAGAATTGAAACGTATGAGATAATAGATATAATAATAATATTAAAAAGTATGATATAGTTCTTCAGTGTATTCTACTCATACACTTTTAAAAATTATATTAAATGATGTATAAAGTTGATATGTCTTTTGAAATTAAGTTAATAAATGCGCACAGTCCTCCCAATATTGAATACACAAATGAACAAAGGTCCGAATTTGTTATTTATAATTCGATTGAGAAAGATAATGAAAAGGTTGAAAAAGATTATTCTCTGACCAAAATTTTTGTTAGAGAAAAGGTAAAACGCATGAATCCATGATTATTAATTTTGTGTAAGGAAAATGAAACGTGTAGAAAAATGGGCAATATCCTATCGATTAATATTGCTCATATATGATTATTTCATATTCGATCCTTTTACAATGAATTCATTTATAGAAACGAATGTATCCGTGTGTTGTGAAATGAGCACTGTATCCGTGTATTTTGCAATGAAAAGGCAGTAAAAAAAAAATCCCAATATTTGTATTCACCAGCGAGTTTTAATCATATACCGGGGAACTTTATCACCTTTATATATATCATTACTATATACGACAAAATCAATTACCAATTATTCAATTAATAACGAGCTCTCGACCTTCCATGGTATATTAACTTTGGCAGCGCTGAAAAGCGAAGCCAAAGGGTCTTGCTTTTGTAGACTACAGATCTCGCTGTGGGCCGAGTTTTTTTTCATTGTACGCTACGCTACATGTTAGCACGATCAAGGAAGTTATGTCTCGCTTATGTACACCGTCTACGGGAGAGAGCAATGTCTATAGAGTTAATGGCCATTCACTTTGTACACGTGTGTATGTTGTGTATGGGGCTAGGCTGCCGTGGTCGATGTGTACAGTAGTGCAGTGAGATATGAATGCATTGGAGTGAGATACTTCACTATAGCTGTACTGCACACAGTAAATTACATAGAGTAGTGCGTGGAGTCAAGTTGTATGCAGCTAGCTAGTTTGCTGGAAAATATTTCAAAAATCATAAAATCGCTCATACATAACCAAAAGTGATAATCCAACCATTCATCATGTTCAGAAAAATATGATCTTTCCAATGAACTGATTTATTTTCAAAAATTTCACGATTATTTTTTTTTCGTGCATAGGCCTATACGCCTATTGTCATATTGAGTGTGTACTAAATATTTCTGGGCTAATACTAGAATAATTGATATAACTATTGAGAAGTGATACATTGAAAAGGAAGCCGTTCATGATAATGCAAAAAGGTTAGAGATACATATTATAAGTTTTCAACCTTTTATCCTTCATGATCTGTCTTTCGTCATATGGACTGAACATGAAGCGTGTAATGATTTAGAATTATATTTTAATATATTAATTATAGCCAGTAATGATAAAGTGGTGCTGGAATGATTTGTTAGGGATTTTGGGGAAGTTCTTGTTTCCGAAATTATTGGCAACCATAAGCGCTGGACACTTACATTTGACCATGGCCGCCCCAGCACTTCGGCCATTCCTAAACTAGTTGACCATTCAAAGCTAAACATTCCATCGAAAGATATAACCGGCCCTAGCCAGTTTTCCACTACACACGTGAATACACCAGACCATATTACAAGGGACCGACAAGAGACTAGCTTGACCCAAATACTACCCCACCCCCTCATCTTCTCAAACTTCTCCCCCCCCCCCCCCCGACTCCACCCTAGAAGGCGGAGCCTGGGTTGAAAGAAAAGACAGAGAGAGAGGGAGAGAGATAGAGAGAATGAAGGAGAGAGCTTAGTGTGTGGTATATTACATGTAGCTCAGTGATATAGTACGGTACTAAAATATATAGGCCAAGCTTTTGACCAATCAAATGGTAGCACGGTCTGATCTTATGCATATTCAACAACCACTAGTTGCCGGTCGAATGTACACGTTTTACACGTTGAAGCAATGTGTGCATCACAAGCATGCGTTGTGAAGGAAATATCAAAGCATTCGGCAAAGGGACAGCACCGAATACGTACAGGCCTAACAGACAATCCCAGAACGAACGAGAAAAGTTTTGGAGTTTGGGTATTAGTGGTGATTTTACCCGTTTTCGCCAATATTCTGATCTCCAATCTCCACTGGGTTTGTAGGTTCTGGTCGTCTGCTGTTCCCCTTGTGTCAAGTCACCAAAACTATCCCATTTTCCCACCCCTTTTTCACATTGGAAGTTAAAAAAGAACAGAAATAAATAACCCATTCCAAAGTAAAGTTCAACTTCTTCGCCTGTCTGCAAACGAGCTCGAAGTCGAAGGAACTTCTCGGTGGAACGTCTTCTATCAATCATGGATAATTTGTTGTGCTTTGAGCAAGAGTATTTCGACCATGCCAAATCGCCAATGTCATACGTGGACCAAGTTTTATTGCGAGATAAAAATCTGGACAATTTACTAGCAGTGGAAGAGCAATATGTGTTGTCGGCGGACTATTTTGGCAACCACTTCCAGCGAGAATTGAGACCTTCGATGAGAAAGCTAGTCGTGGATTGGATGTTCGAAGTAAGTATTTTTCACTTTTCTCGGTTTCAAAATCAAATAATTTGTATCTCAATCGCTAGAATATATCCTTAGCTTTATTTTGACGTGTGATTTGTTCCTATTTTCTTCTGTTTTCAATTTTTGTTTGAATTTGAAAGAAATCGCAAATTTCCAGGAACAACCTGTTGACGTTTTGACCGCAACATGTCTAAGTTTGACTCAAGTTTTCTCTTAAATTTTGAAATGAAGAGGCTTGTGAAGCATATCATTAACTAGAATAGATCTTTGGAATTATTTTGATATATATTTTGTCTTGTTTCCATGATTTTTCTTTTTTTGCTGATTAAAGTAAACATTTTATCTTTATTTCATAAAGCGGGGCCGCGCGTGACGCGCCGTGGTTTTGCTCGTCATGAGACTCGGAATTATTCATAATTTCATTGATCTCGCCTTCGGCTTCTTGTGCTATTAATTGATGTCATTCTAAAAATAATATTAACATTTGAATGTCGTGTTTCTATCATTTTATAATTGTTGACATGATTTGCTATGCAAAAAATATGTCGTCGTCATGTGCACTCTCTTTGTTGTAGATTTTAACATCAAACCGATTTGTATGGTGCCGAAAGACATCGAATCTATCGCTTTTCAAAGAAAGTAATTGAAAATCTGTCCATATAAAAAGTTAGAGAATATATTCTTCTTCCATTTGGTATTAAATTTGTCATATGTCGCGCCGTCAATTAAATTTTTCGAATTTAACACGAATTTATGACAAGTCGACTTCTGAGAACGCAAGTCGCTTCCTCTCCATTCAGGCATGTGTGATCGAGACGCAAAACTGCCAAGCCGTTTTTGCAACCTCCCTAGAAAATATAAATTTAACAATTTTCCTCTCCCTATTTTGAAAATGTATTCATATGAAATCAAAGCATAGGCATTAGGCTTTCGAGCCATGCTATAAAAAATGACAACATGTGCCGGGTTTTATTTATTTCGAATTAATTTACTCGTGTTTCAAGAAAAGTTCGTGTTGGTTTTGTCATGTAGTTTGCGCGAGCGAACATGCGTTGTGCAGCTTGTATGCACGGACAGACACATCGAGGCGAGCGCTATCCCGTGTGTGCAGTATGACATTACCGTAATGTACAGCAGACTTGACCGAGCCTGATGTATGAATTCTACATTGCATTGGTCTTTTTCTGGCGCGCGCTTTTTACTTTTTCGGGGTAAATAGTTGGAACCTGGATTGCGCAGGATATCGGGCGGTAGATCGAGATCTATTTGCATTTCATGTTCATCAAATCTGAGAAATTATAATCATTATTAAGTCCGATCTTGTTTGGAATCGTCATCATTTATGTCAGAATCTCATTTTCTATATTTTGTATTTTTGTAAATCGACCATTCTTCATTTGATAGATGTTTCTCACGGATACAAATCCATCATCATTCAATCATATTGACTCAACTGTTTCTTCAAAAACTTAGATCGGGGAAGTCCATTGTTTGGTTTGGATTTTGTAAACAGATCGTATGTCTTCTCTTTTGTAGAATGATATTAAAATAAAATTGTCAGTGCATCCTTGTTCGTAATTTTAATCATCTACAATTTTTACAACAGATATTTTAGTCAGTCGTGGGCTCATATAAAAACATTCATAAACAGGACATGGCAAAGCTGGAGATATTATCGTCCTCCGCACTTTGAAAAATATAATAGACCAAAGCTAAAGCCGAAGGGGGAAATTGCATTTATTTAATAATTAGTTTTATAAATATGTAGGCCAAAGTTTAAGGCCAGATTTACTCATTTAGATACATTACAGACCTCTAAGTAAGGCTCTATCTTACCATGAAATTTGCAGATTTTTTTCAAAAGCAATTTAGCAATATTCTCATCATTTTTAAAGACGTTTTGTTGCCCCTTCTGTTGGGGTTTGTTTCACATTTATATTGTCTTTCACTTAATATGTCTTTTCTTCTTCTTCCTTCCTCTGTCATGTCCGCTGGGTATTATTGAAAATTATGATATTTATGATCATCTGCAGTTCATTAAAATATTTGTTTTTCTTTTTGTTTGTTTTCTGCAGGTTTGCGAGGAGCAACAACGAGAAGAAGATGTGTTCCCACTTTCAGTCAATTACCTGGACAGATTCCTATCCATAGAGAGAATATCTAGAGACAAATTCCAGCTCTTGGGCGCCACTTGTATGTTTCTGGCCTCCAAACTTCTAGAAACGATCCCCCTCACGTCGGAAAAACTAATCATCTATACAGACAATAGTATCACATTGGAGCAACTACTCGTAAGTATTTCCATTTTTGGGTGCTTTTTATGCTGATGATTTTTGAGCGATCAATTTTCAGGCATTAAGTATTTTTAAATGGAAATATTAAACCGAATATGAGTTTGAGTTCTGAGGTAAAAACACGCGAGACGACATGAATCGTGAGGCCAGGCCTTCTTTTCTAATTTCAGTGAGCGGCAGAGTTGTTAGAAAGTTACGGAAATGGGGTGTTTTCAGGAAGAAAGCTCCCGTGAATGAAAAAAAAAAAGCATTTTTACACTTTGGTGTTTTGATGGTATCGGAAGTGTTTGAGAATGAATACAGTCGATATTTTCTGTCAATGGAGTCGAAAGAAAAATCCGCTGTAAACATTCTCATGCATTTTTGATGAAGATGTGTTTTGAAGTTGGATTATATTTCATGGATATTTTATTAATCATCAATCTATCAGGTAAGTTTTTGTTTATTTATTCGTTTAGGTTTTAATTTTCTTTATTGAGTGGACAATTTCTATGCCCTGTTGAAAAGGAAAAAATAGGTTTTTAGCGCGCCGCGTTTCCGTCGCTTATCATGACTGTGTCCATTGTTTATGTGTGTGTGTGTGTGTGTGTACACTTTGTCTGTGTGTATCATCGTTGACCAATTACACTCAATAATGACGGCGCGCATACTTTACGATGTGCGTGACTGGTTAGTCTGTGCTTTGTGTAACGCGGTGATTGGCTGAAATTAACATTTTGCCCAGGGGCGCGCCAAATATAAAACTTTCGGCGCGCGCTGGAAGTACTCATTTCCACATTGTATTACATTTTATGCAGGGCGCAGTTCACCTCAAAAAAAGTACAGCTTTGTTTACATTATCTCGTCGGGGCTTTTGTACAAAATGTAGTTGCTATTGTGTTGAATATTTTTCCAATCATTATTTTGCACTCTCCCGCACCTATATGCAGTGAAGTGATAACAATTTGTACTGCTTAGACTTGTAAGAATTAACTAATAATTTGTAAAAGATGTTCAAGAATCTAGATTTTTTTTTTTTTTTTTTTTTTTTTTTTTTTTAGGGGCGGGGGGTGAAGTTCTACTTTTCTTCTTTTTTTTGTAGGTAGATTATTTCTCCCTTTTTTTCTCTCTGTGTAAAATATTTAACTCTTCTGTTCATGTTTTGTAGATAAAGAATTAGTTTGGCTAATGGACTTCATTTACATGCAAACCTATTTTTATTTGGGGGGGGGGGGAGCTGTCTCGATTCAGTTAGCACTTTGTCCATCCTTGGCAACTCGTAACAGTTCTGCGATTTCCTATCATCGATGATAGAGGGACTAAATAAAACCTGGACAGAGATGGAGAGAAAGAAGAAAAAAAACCTCTGTAGGGACAACTCCTTTTGAAATGGTATGGGTCATCAGGGCATCCAAATGAATGGCTTCCCTTTGTAAAGTTTGGGGAAGAATGAGAAGCGATTGATTGAAGCATTGATTAGGTAGAGACAGAGAGCATGGGAAAATTGTCCTGGGCCTTTTGTCATCCCCCAAAGAGTCCTGTGCCTGTGTGTGGGAAGATGAGACCGGGGGAGATGGGATATAATGAAGAGAAAAATCAATAGGCTTCATGGGGAGAATGTTCAAAGGATTAAAAGTACATTTTCTAAGCTCTGGGGTATTTTCATTTCCACAGCAAAATTCCTTCGTCAAAGGGGAACATGACCTGATATGTGATACAAAAATACTCTGGATTAGTAAGAACCACAGTTTAAGTTAACACTCGGCTTTAAACTGTTCTTAATTTGACATCCAAGTTAAACTATTCACCCCATTTATATTTTTTTTTATCAAAATTTTATTTTTCAGTTTTTGTAGTCTAGTAGCATGGGATTTATCATAAGCCCAGCCACCTTTTCACTTCACCACAGTCAGCTATACTGTTGAGAGCCAGAAGGGTTTTTAACTCTTATACTTTTACCTCGCGTTAACGCCCTCCTGTTTCTCATCTTGTAGCGCCATATCCAGTTTCTCTGCTCTGCTGAAGAGTTATGAGAACAAAGAGACTGGTTTGTCATTTCTAAGAAAGAAGTGCTCTAGTGATCTTGTCTCATTTGCATAGTTTCTATAGCTTCAGGATCTTCCTACATCGAATTTAGGCTTAGTTGTTGATCAAGCAACTTGGGGATTGAACTTTAAAATCATCATGACAAACTAGTTTCTATAAGGGGGGGGGGGCAGTATGTTGGCCAATTTTGATTAAGACTATTGTTCTGAACTTCTGTTGGGTTTTATCTTTGAAAGGAGAGAAACTGAGTCCTCTGTTTTGTCTCTAATCCCTGAACAATGGATTTGAAAAGAAGATTAAGGGCTCAACTCGGGGGTCTTTATTGGATATGTGTGAACTTGATGGCTCTAAGCCCTCAATAGCCTAGGTGTCATCCTCACAAGTGGAACAAACTAGTTTTATTCAAAGCTTTCAGAGTCTTAGGGAGCTTCCTGCCTGGTTCAAGCTTCCCACAGCAGACTTGCCAATAAATTAATGTTCCAATCTCCTGGCTCATTTTCAGAGGTCCAAAACAAAAGATGGGATTACTCTTCATTGTTGACATGTCGTTGTTTGGTTTGGTTTACAAATTACATGACCCTGAATAGTTATGTAAGGAAGTATTTTACTATTTCATTTATTGCCGTGTTCATAATAATAATTGAGCTATAAATAAGTTCTGCAGTGCGTAGAAATCAATTTATTTGATGTATCACAAGCAATATTAAACTTAAATTATATAGTTTCCCACTTATTATGTACATTGTAGCTCCTATTAATATTCCTAAGTTATTCTTTAAAACTCTTATTTAACTTGGACTGGAATTGAAGAGGAAGATCACAATAGAAAGCTGACCAGGAAGTGCATAATATATGCAAGTTACAGTATCAGGCTGAACAGCTGCAGAAGCTGTAAACTCTGGAGAGAATGGGGCGGTTTTTCTCTTTTCTTGACTCTTATACATGTTTCTGACAGCGCTGCTTTCCTCCGCCCCTACCAGTAAATTTCAAAAAGAGCTCAACTTAGCATTATGTTTCATCTACAGGTCAGACGGAGTTGTCATAGTTAACTCTTATAAAACAAGGATTTTTTTTCTAAAATAGGAAAAAGCGTATCAGTGACACCATCGTCCTTGCAAAAACAAGGTCAAGCAAAGTATACTGCAGATCAGTTTGTTGTGGGTGTTATAAGTTCTTACTAAGTTATTATATCTTTTTGCCATAAATAATTTAATTTGCCACACTAGGAAATAGAAGCGACTTTTTAGATTTAATCAGCTTCAATAAAAATGACATAGAATTTATATTTATAAATGTCACTTTGCATTTGCAGTATACATGTCTTCAAAGAAAGGAAAATTTGTTTCATAGTTATTATTAGAATGGAATATATTTAATGAAAATCGTCATTCATTTAAAGTGCATTTTTGAAGTTGGTCTTTAATCTTTTCTCACATGTATTCAATTCAAGCGATTATCGTATCGATACCTTTAACGTCGAAACAGGATGTGGCATTTGATAATTAGCCTACGAGTGTGAAATATGAACTTCGGTCATTCCTTCTTTCATTTAACGAGACAGACGATTTATGAATGAGCCGGTTCATTTACTTGAGAAATAATTTCACTGGGATCTCAAGATTAGATACTTTATTTGATTATTTTTTTATGAAAATACAAACTGCATGGCCTCTGCTTTCATAGTTTTAACTCTTTAAACATATACCGGTAGAAAATAAACAGAACCAATTTTTAGTTTAGCAATTTACTGGTTTCGTTTTATTCATAATTTAGTCTCAGCCGGGCCCAGACACCAAATACAAAGTGCAAAAGCTTTTCTTTCACTTAAACAAAAACAGGACTTGATTGAGAGTTGATCGAGGAGGGATTCCGGATGTGATAGGATCCTTGTTATGTTTCAATTGATGTTAATTATTTCCCCTTTCTTGTTCTTAATCCTCCTCTTAGTGTGTGTTAAAAAAAGTCACAGGGATGAGCTATATGAGAGGGGATTCTCGTTCGGTGAGAATTTGTCAGAAATTGGAGATTGTGAAATGTTTGCTGGTGGTACTCTATGGACAGTTTAGCCTGCACGAGGGCAACGATTACATAAGCGTGTTTCCTCATTTAAAACCACTCAAAGTGAACATTACATAGATCATGTGATGGATTCACACCTATTTTTTTAAGCACATGTAGGGCCTGTTCGACCAAGAAAATATGTGGGGAAAATGCATTTACTGTAGCTATAACACAAAAATCTTATCCAATATGAAATGAACAAAAACACCACCCATTGTAGCGAAGGTTTCTGTTATTTATGTTCAATCGTGACTGCAAATTTAGATTTTCACAATTTTGTTGTAAATTTTAATAAATTCAATACAAAGTTTAATAATCAGAGTTCTTTTGCCAAACTGCCAGAGATGATATGATCTGTGAAGAATCAGTAGGGTATTCATTCTGTGAGTAGTTCATCAGGCGTATCTGGCTCCGAACTGATTATTTCCCCCTCGTGTTATTTTAGGAGTGTCATTGACTTGTGATAGAGATGAATGTGGTCACTCATGATCTACTTGGGTTTCATGCGGTCTGAGAAGACCGATGAAAATCCTGAAAAGGGCATTTGGTCTTCGCTAGCAAAAATGAAACAGGATCTAGGTTTTAATTTTGACAAAAGTGACACTATTCACGTTAAGTGTTTCCTTTTCTTTAGTCTTGATGTGCAAGTAGAGATAAAGGATTTGATACCGAATGTGTGGTCAAATTATCTTGATAAAAAAAAAGCGGTCTTGTTCTTTTGTTTCCCTCTTCGCACATTCGACCACAGAGTATGTAAATTGGACACTTCCATGCATGAGGATCATGTCTCTTCAGAGCAAAAATGGCGTTGGATCTGTGTTGAAAGTATATGATTCACCGGTAATGCCTTTCTGGCATCAAAGAGTTAATTTATTTCATTTCCTTCATCAAAGTACAGTGTAGAGCCTAGATCAAACTGTATAATGTGCTCTTATCACAAGATCTGAATATTATGCATTGATATTTGGTGGAAGGTGGGAGGCTTTGCGTGTGTGTGTGTGTGTGTGTGGGGGGGGGGGGGGGGGGTTGTGGGTACAGTTAGGTACTAAGGTTATATTATACACCATGCCCTTTTTTTTTTAGTAAAGGGTATTATGCACATGATTGATTAACCCTTTCAATGATTTCGGAGCAGACAATATTTTAATAAAAAAATTGATGGTAGTGAAACAGTGCTCAGGCGCTGCACATCATCGTATGATGGATATCGTCCAATAAGGAGCATACCAGTACTTGTAGGTTACAGTTTCTTAGAAAAGACCCTTTTAGAATTATCAGGAATGTGTTTAGAAAGTAATTTTAGATTTTCATCAACAACTTTAAGATGTCATTAGTAATTCTATAACTTGGCTAGCCAGATTGTAAAGGAGAAGTAATTTGTCATAATCTTACAATAAACAAAAACATGTCTGTGAGTTGCAACTTGCAAGCGTACTTTCTGTATTTGCATCATGTAAGATCTACCATAAAAATAGTTCAGCTCCCTAACATGGTCCAATTTTGTATAAAGTTCAAAATGTGCGAAATACAATATTATTTGATGTACTCCATGTTTCTTCATTCTCTTAAGCATACCCTAGATGGCGCTGTTTACAAGGTATTAACCTGAATGCTATTGTTTTTGTCTTCCTTTGTTTTTCTTCCCAATTCACAGAAATTTGAACAGCTAGTACTAACCAAGTTAAAATGGGACCTTATGGCAATCACCCCCAACGCATTTCTTGAGCACATTTTCCACCGGCTTCCCGTCGATAAGGAGCAGGCAGCGTTGCTAAGGAAACACGCCCAAACCTTCATCGTGCTGTGCGCGACAGGTAAGCCAAACCCGTCCTCTATAATTAAGCAACTGTATTATGAATTGTCTATAAATAATACTTGATGTCTGTTTTAAATGATGATTAATTGATTTAACTAAGTTGGGCATCACTTTACTTTACAAGACTCTAAATTGCTGAAGATCAATCAACAAATTGGTGCGAAACATGCACATATTGGAAATGATAACCGGACTAGTGTTGTCCCTCCTGCCCCAAGCATTTCTTCTCGTGTCTTTCTTTCTCTGCTGCTTAAAAGTTTTTTTTCATCTCTCCTTCTCCTCTTTCTCTCTCCATTCTATCTCTGCCCCCTCTCTCTCTCTGTTCTCTCCTCTCTCTCTCCCCCTTTTCCTCGCTTTCTCCTCTCTTCCATACCATGCTTCTCCCTGTATGGGAATGACCCTACCAGTAGTTCATCAAGGTGCTGTAAGTTAGTCTTAGAGGTCAAGTATGCGAGCTAGGACCCTTTCTTATATCCTATCTCCCATGCTGGGTAACCATGCCTGACAGCTTGATGGGAATATCAGATCAACCGCCGTTTCCTGCTGCACTCGGAAAGAGAAGGTCTCTTTCTCTCTGTTTTTTTTTTTTTTTTTTTACTAGGGACCTCCTTGCGTCTCAGTTAAAAACTTCCTTGTTCTGGCTTTGCCATTGGAGGCTGGCAGAGTCTGGGAACTGGACGGGATCTGGGGGAAGAAGGCGTCGTCATTATCAAAGACATAGCCTGTTTCACGATTGTGATCTCGAGGAAAGATTAGAGCCCGAGCCTGGTTATGTGAGAGCTTCAAGTCTTGCTTTTGAAAACAGGTGGTTTTGTAATGTTTGACCAAACGGCGAAAACTTGGCCTTTGTTAATCGTTTTATGTTTTTAACCATTCTTTTTAAAATTTGTGCAAGAGTCTGTGATCTTGAGCAATCAAATTATTACTCCCATTTCTGTTTTGGGAGATAAGTCTGTAAATAGGGGTGTGAATGCTGGGACAACAGAACAACCACAGGCAACCTGCACCCTTTAATATTATGTGGTATGTCCTTTAACAATCCCACCGTCCCGGGCTTCACCAGACACAAAGCATGCTGGGAAGGTAATTGCCAAGGCGACAGTCAGCTCAGGGGACAATGTCCGCCTCTGGAATTTCCACCTACTTGAGCAAGAATCAGGATGAGGATGTCAGCAATGGAAGAGGAGGAGGAGGAGGAGGGGAAACGAGGGGTGGGAATCTTCCAAAGCCTCCAGACATTACTCCTGTCCTTTATCACCCCTGTAAGCTCATCGTTGAAGGTTCAAAACCTGCTAACAACAAAGACACGTCTGTGTCTTTCTAGCTTGGGGTCACACTGATTATTTTCCATGCTAAAAAAAGTTGCATGTTGATGCTTATCAGCTAAAAGAGCCGACAATTGGCCTCAGCCTTTTTCAATTTCATCAAAAAAGTTCTGGTGTAATAATGTTTCCTACAAATGAATTTGGACCAGAAAGGATCATTGAATTAATTTACGAAACCCCACCCTGGATGTTCGCTCATGACTTCCTTCATGTGTGTCCCGAATTCTCATGGAATCCCCACTCTGCCTTCTTTAATTGATACCGCTCATCAGACGAGGACCCACGTTGTTTGAGGGTTGCCTGTGATATGTATCTTGCCCTGGGAAACTGTGAAGGCAGGTGGTCCTCGTGTTCCCACACAGCTCTTGGTCTTCCCGAACAACGTTCATAGAACGTTTCAACTCGGTAAAGCCAAAACCGTAGTCATGAAATAATGCTCATCTTACAAACGCCATTGGACTACCTTAAGTATGTAAGGTTTACAATGACAAGTGAGAAAAAAGAGAATGATGAGGAAGAACATGGGAAACCCAACTCTTTCAAGACAAGTGCTGCCGATCTGCCCCTCCCTCCCCCACCCAAACTCCAGCTCTCTCTCTCTCTCTCTCTCTCAAGCTGTGAGCTTCGCAGGAAATTCCGCCAGTTATGTTAGCATGCACACCAGGCGTAACGTCGATCTGCGTAACTTGAGCGTAACCAAATCAACAAGCGGAGGACACAGCAAAGTTCACGAGAAAACAGCAACATGAAGGTGCTTCGCTATCCCCTCCTTTCCTGTACGCAAGACCTCGCTTCTCGTTTTATCAACCAAGTCAGAGTTTCAGAACTTGTTGGACACGATGTGAGCGGCCCAGGATCGAGTTTATAAATTTATCTCCATGCTGAAGTTTACTTTTAAGTCTACCCTTTCAATCAGCAATTGTGAAAGTACCAGCATCATGGATGTTACGAGTTTCCAAGAATCGAGACGTACATGTAGGAGGGCCTTCCTTTTCCTGGGCAGTGTGGGATCAAATTAATCATATTCTAAACTATCGGGCCATAGTATCTATGGCAATAGCTGTTATGTAGTTCAATGCAAATTCACATCCATTTTGTTTCCAGCTTTCGCTCATATATAATGTTTCATATTGTTGGGCTAAGTTTCTATTGAACGAAACCTCCCACTTACAGAGAAACCTCTTGACTAATCATTATCAATCTTCGGAATGGATTGTGGATGGGATTCATTTCCCGTTTGCAGTGAGTACTGCTGCATGATGGGAGAATCTTGAAAAGGAGAGATTAATGTGTAGTCCCACAAGTAAACATCTTTGTTGGTCTGAATGGAGAATATCGTAACATTGTGTAGATCTCGAGTAGGACATTTTACTGCCACTCTTTAGCTATCCTTTCCTTACAAATTGGTGTGACGGAAGCCAGGGTTATCAGGCATTCTCCTGTAACTCTCCCTTGCATTCAATCAAATAAAAGTCTGGCGGAAATTCTATTTTCCTGCTCTTCAGGATGATTTGAAGCCTAGTCCTTCACATTCTTCTCCAAGTCTCCATTCTTCCTTTTTATTGTGAAGTGCTCCTTTCTTTTGCAACATGAAGGGCCCTTTCATGCTGAGAAGAAGACACAGTGCTTCTCTCTGGAGATAATCCCTCTCCGAAGCAGAAGGGGGGTTGCCCCTGCTGTTAGTTGGTCCTTGCTCGGACCCCTAACAGGTCCCCCAAATCTCCAAATTGGAGAACTGTTCAAAAGGAAATCCTTAAATCTGAAACCGGCTTTCCTGAGCCTAAGGCTGGATCAAAATAAAAAGTCGAGGGCCACACCCTAATTGTGAAATTACATGAAGTGGTATGCCTGAATACCTTGCTCTCTGAATGTTACGATTAATTCCTACTTGCTTGGTTACAGCAAGTTTGTTGGGACGGTTTGTTTACACTCTCCACATTCTTGCGTTAGCTGGGGACCCTCCTGTCAAGTGTTCTCAAAATGTTGCTAAATGTCAGTCGCTTACTTTCATTTCCCCCTTTCATTTCGTGCTAAGTTGCGTGTTCCGTAGGGCGTTACTAAACAAATCCCCTCTCATCAGTGGCAACCGAATGGAGCTTCTTGGGCAAGTTGCCCAGTTGCTGGCAAGCACAAGAAATTCCATTTTCAACATTCAGATTCCAAGTCACACAAAGTGTTTCCAATCAGATATCGTTAAGAGCACGAAGGGCTCTACTTTCCATACATGGTTAAATGCCATTTTCACCCTTACATGTATCTTCTCTATATCTTCACCTGTATTATCTGTCTTTCTTTTTATTTATATCTTCTCTCTCCTCTCTGTCTCTCTCCCTCCCCCCCCCCCTCTCTGTCTCTCTCCCTCTCCCCCCTCTCACTCTCTCTTTCCCCCCTGTACTCTTTTTTTTCTTCTTCATTTGAAACCCATTTAGAGAACTGACCGAGCAAAACGAAAGGATAGGTAGAGATCCACATGTACTCCCCAGACCCATTTTTAGGCCTCTCTCATCCTCTTATTAGGACTAGATCCCCACTGTGTCCTCTACATTCCAGTCCCATTGATTGGATCCTGTTCCTCATTCAGAGGGCATCAAAGGCAGAACAAGACCCAAATAAAGAGGGACTTACAGCCGACGAACAATGTTACAGAATGGTAACAAACGAAAGAAAATTGCGTCTGATGTCACCTTTATTTCGGGATCAGATTTATATTGACCAGAGAAAAAAAATAGGCGAGGAAGAAGAAATGAAAGATATAAAACATCAGATAAAGATGGGAATAGAGGAGTAGAAAAGGAGATCTGGAAGGGGGACCAAAATAATGAAAACTATATCCATGTCTCTCCCCCCCCCCCAATCTCTCTCTCTCTCTCTCTCTCTCTCTGTTTCTTTCTGCTATCCAATCTCTTACTCTCCCTTACACTGGCTGTTTCTAATTAAAATACAAGACATGAATAGAAGCATGAAACATTCCAACACCGTCTTTCACTTTAACAAAAATCCAGATTTCCCACGGTCCATGGCAATATCAAAGTGCACCCAAACTTGAATTTATTTGTACATACATCCAATTTTTTCCATGGCCTATTGGTTTTTTCATTTAGTCATGGCATGTCAACTTTCATTTTGTCAAAATCTGCTCAAGGAATCCAAGTATAGAAAAAAATAATTTGCATATCTTTCCTTCTCTCTCTCTCTCTCTCTCTCTCTCTCTCTCTCTGTCTATCTCTTTCTCATTCTGTGTTTGGTTTAGCATTCCATTATGAGAAAAAAGTTGCCAAGGAGTTTTTTCTTTTTTGGGGGCAATATCTATATATGAATCAAAGTTCAAAACACACCTTTTCTCCAGACTTTGTCTAACCATATTTGCAAGGAACAAAAAGAAAATCACCTTGTTGGCATGATACTAGACTATCAAATGAAGGAATGAATTCTTATTTATTTTATTATGTTCGCAGGACTAGGCAATCACTGGCTAAGCATAGATGATTTGCGTGGGATTCAGGGCATGCGTTTAAAGAAAGACTTTACCACCATTTGTCAAAAGTTACACCTCATTAGACGTCGGGTGTTCGTATCTGTTCAATCTAGTCATTTTCCTCTTTTCTTCTCTCTCTCTTGGGAAGTTTGGGGCATACTATTTTAAGGTATTCCTTTCCATAGTTTGTCTGAGAGCCTCTCCCTATTTCTTTGTGTGAATCATGCAAATTAACTACATAAACAGATTACTACTGAATTATGTAATTGATATAAGGTTTATACAGTGACCACCTGTTCTTGTGCGTAAAGGATTAATTGATAAACTTGTAATGATTATTTCACTTTGTTTTAACCTAGCATTACGTTTTTTTCCCTCTCTTTCTCTCTACAGATTATAATTTTGCAATGCAACCCCCATCGTTAATTGCCGCCAGCGGTGTAGCTGCAGCAGCAAACGGACTTAGAATGCACATCCCTAAAGTAATAGATCTACTACATAGGATAACAAAAATCGAAACCGTAAGTACATTTTATTTGTTAAAAACATTTAAAAACATCAAAAGCAACTAGAATTTGTCTTTTATGTAAATTTATGCAAGCATGACTGGATTTATGAGGTTGTCCTTGTACTAGGTTTTTCACCTTGATTAAAGTTTTTTGCACCTTCGACCTTGTGCTTCAAAGGCATTGCAGTCTGTACCTTGTTTGCAGACGTCGCTCAGTTCTTTGGATTAAGTGATCAATCTAAGTCCACGACAGGTCGTTCCAGTAACGCCCCGCTAAATGGTGAAAATCTCCCCCACTCGAGCTAGGGGGAGAGACAAGATGGGACAATTACTATACATTGATGGATTACTGAATAAATATGAAAAGACCAAATTGGAGTGGCCTTGCGATGGTCTCATTATATTTAATTGAATCTTATGTGTGGTATTCATTTCGGGTCACAATATTTCAAGGGGTCAGAACTCAGTCGAGGTTGATTTGGCTTGTAAGTTGTATCGTTCTTTTTAAAATAAAAGTAGCATTTGGACTGTACAGGACTCTGCATTCAACAGGATAGCATAGACTTTCCAGAAATCAACACGAGGCAATAGCCCTGTCTATCATTTGCAACATTACAAAGAGGTATAACATCCACATGATTTCTAATATGTTCATGTAGGCAATCGAAATTGACCATGAGAGGAATCTCTCAAGTTATTTCAATTGTGTAATTGGATTTGTAATCTTCACCCTCGACGAAATATACTGAGTCTAGTCAGCCTACTGTCTAAAGCATTAGCAGAGTCTAAGAATCTATCTGTATGGTACACATAAAGGGATTAATTAGCCTGATAGTTTCTGTGAGTTTTCAGATTGTTAGGGTTAAAAGCCTGTCTCAAAAAAGGAAGTGTGTACTTAAGAAAAAAACTTGCTTCCACCCCCTTCAAACTCAAACATACCTTGTAGTCCAACAGAAGCTCCCCTAGCAACCTGACATGTCCTAGATAGTCGCAACAAAAGTAAGACCAGGCTCCTTTTATCTCTTTTTTCTTCTTGTTGAAGCCCTCCTGAGATAGCTCTTCAAGAATTCCCAGTGGTTAATACTATGATTTATAAATTTTCTTTGAAGAGAACTGATTATTTTCAGTCAAGATTTCTCTGGAGTCATATGAAAAGAAAGAAAAATTTCATTTCCTGTTTGGTTTAGTGACTTTAGTCCCGATTGCCTCGATGGCTCAGGCAGAGAGGATTTGGGACCTGAAAAGCAGATTTAATCAGGCTGTGTGTTCGAGACTACGTTTTCGGCACAGCCTTCTTAAGCAAACCTTGTCATAAACACTCAATGAATAGGCCTTAAAACCATCCGCAAACATGGCCCCATTTTTGTGTCAGTTGTCTCTCAGTCTCCACCTCCCTTTTTTTTTAGTACCAACTCTCAAAGTACACACTTCCCCCTTTCTTTAGTTTGCAAATTTAGGCACATAATGGATCGGTTTTATTGTCTCCTACTTGTCTAGCTAGCATACCTCTCATTTGATCATTTTCCTTTGATGCCAAACCTGTATGTCTAATTGAACTACAAAAAAAAAGGAACAATTCTTTCTGGAAAGAATGGGAGAGGGTTGGGACTTCGGGTCCGATGCACATGCCTTCGTTTTAGTCTTTGTTCAAAGACTTCCTCGGTTTGTTTGTTTTCTAAACATGGGAAAAAAGAGGTGTTTGCACCCTTCGTTTAAAGCTCTGCTCCAAAATTACACTGCCAAATTTAAGACGACCGTTTCTTGGATGTAAATGAGACAAGAGTACAGTTCCACCATTGATTATTTCGCCCTCATTAGATCCCAAATACCATGAAAATCACAAATTTATATTACCATAAAGAACATAAAGCGTTGAATCCAATTTTGCTCTCCAAGCTTTTCATGAATTCATTTTAAAAAAAAATGATAATTAGCTTATAACAATCATCTATTTTTGGAACATATTGCCAATTTGATGATGCAATAAAGAAAGAAATAAGTATAATGTGTTTTCTAGGTTAATTACACCAATGTAGGAAACAAGATTTAATTTTAATGGCATTTCATTTTTAAGTGTACTTGCAGATCTCGTCTTATGTCATAAAAAGAGATCATTACTGTCAAGTATTATGACATATGAAATCCAAATTAAAAGTAATGAATCATAGTTAATCAATTACTTTACCATACAACCATTTTAAATTCCCAGGGTTCTTTTCAATGACAGATATAAACACTTCATTTCACAAATTGAATTAAAAGAAGACAAAAGATATAAATAGATCATCTATTTATTTTCTTAATTTTTATAAAAAAAGAGCTTTTTAAGAATATGTGTCTGATTGATTGTCAACACTATTTCTTTTAAACGGGAATGGTTTTAACATATGGTCATTTACAGTGATACAGAGTTGAAGTTGAGGGCATGGAAACAGAAGGCTGTTCACATATGGTGATTTTATGTTTCATTAAGAAGTACCTGGGGAATCATAAGGAGCAGTTTCAGTGGTAATCATTGAGCACTGAATCTTTAGACGTTGAGTCGTCGTAGATCAAGAGTTTCTATCCTGCAAAGCGGTAGAGTAATTGTTCTCAGAGAGTGAGCTATGAAAGACCGATCACCATCCAAATGTGAACCTCCCCTATTAGTAAGTTGATTAAGGGGAAACCCCATATATTTTAGAATCTTGTGATGGCTATCATGGCTGGCTTTGGAGTGTCATTTCCTGAAGTGAATCGGTTGTGATCCTCGGCCAAAAATGACTTTCAATTCATCGTTTCGCCTTGCAACGTGATACAGAGAAAAGATAAAACAAGTGGTCACCAAGAGTGTGCGATGATTGTCAGTGAGACTTTCGATTTCTGTCCGAGTTTTACTGGAAGTTTCACGTGATTGGAGGATCTGTGCTTTGAAAGGCCATAGGATTTAACATGGGAAATTGACCAGGCACATGCATGGGCCCTTATGGCAAGGCATTAGATCAATTGTGATCAAACGCAATCTGAACGTAGAGGAGTTTCAAATTATGGCACCAAATGCGTAATCAAAGCATGACGATGACGTCTTTCCTTCGTTTTTTAATGATTGGAAATGAAAGATGCATATATTTATAGCATTGAGATCTCTGTCAAATGCATCAAAATATGAATGAATCCATTTCGGTGAAATATGAGGAATAAACACATGGAAATAGAAACAGTGACCTCTCTCTCTCTTTCTCTCCACTTCTGACCAATCATTGTGAAGTTGTGATAGGTGTCCATTGTCAATGCCATTTACATCTTGAACTTGCCCCCAATGTGGTAAAAGATTTCTGGAAACTGCCTGCCACAGAACTAATAAACAAACTTGAGCTACATGTACATTGTACGAAGAAATAAAGTGCTATGATTATCATTTGTGGTCTAACACACATTGTATCCTCCTGCCTTTTAGTTCTTCCATCATCACACTCGCCCCTCTTCGTCAGGAAGGGGGGGGGGGGGCGGTGAGGAACCCCTAGTCTGTGCCTGGGCATGTTATTAGCACTTTAAAGGAGGGATTAGTTGAGATAAACCTACCTTTATTCTCCACTTGAGCTAAGCTAAGCTGAATAGTTCTAAGCTCTTCAGAGAATTTAATGATTCTTATAAAACATTGGGGTGAGACGATTAAATTCAATCTCATAAAAATGTTCTAGTTGTTCCAAAGCTGAGAATTTGACAGTCGACTTTGCCAAAGATCTGCAACGATTCGGTCGGTATTCATGTGATGGGTATGATTGGTAGGAAACGTCTTGTAACCAGACTACAAGTGAACACATTGTGAACTCTTCTACGATGGCAAATGTCACAAGGGTTGGGTCATGTCTGGCCCTCAGCAGAAAAAGAGACAAACTTTGTCCAAATCTGCGAAATTCCTGAGGCTCGCATACCATTCCTGACCCCCAATATCCCCTTCGAGACCCAATTTCCCAAGATTTCTCAAGATTTTCTCACTCTATTGATGACAAAAAGAAAAAGGGTGAGTCATCCGCCCTGAAAAGTGGCTAGCAGAAAAGAAACAAATGGTTGACCAAACAAGCTGTGAAGAGGATGCACCCTTTGAGGTTTTGAGTTCCCCTAATCTGTGTGATTAACCTTCCAAAGTCACACCACAAAGAATTGAGTATCAGGGACTAAAGAGGGTCCTCTTGCCAGAAAGAACAAAAAAATCCGTAGCAGTGCAATGAAAAAGAGATACATAATTGGAACTTTCCCTCAACCCTCCCCCAATAAAAAAAGATGAGTAATAAATACAAACAAGAACAGAACAGAACACAGATTGTAAAAAAACAACAACAAATAAAGTAACCAAATAAAATGGCTGAATTATGCTGAATACATTTACAACCCTGGATTTCTATTTCTGTCCCGCAGCTGATTTTGTTTATAGAGCGAAAGCATCAAATCCTTGATTACTCATGCGCTTTGTTATTATTTGTCTGCCTTCATGAGACTAATCAAGTCAACATTCTTCAAATCAACAAAGGGTACTAGACAAGGGCGTCAACTAAGAATTCTTTGTTTTTCCTGGAGTCAACAAATGTAAACGAAGCTGGAAGTGTACCAAGTAAACTTAGAGAAATCGAATCACTTGGTGTCTTGCCAGCTAGAAGATGACATCAATTGACATGGAACAATAGCAGAGAACATAAATATGCATAGAATAAATAAACAGTGAAAAGATGTCTTTTTATTGATTCAAATAAGTTGAAGCACTCGTGAAAATGGGAGGTTGTGATTGTGGTTGCGACTTGCAAGCCAACTCCTTTTTGGCACATTGTTTGTTTGTTGATACTTATTTACGATGAATAATTACTTGTTTCTCTGTTAATCTTTGATTGAAGCAATTATGTACTGAATACAACATATCTTATAAATACAAATCTCTGTGGATTTGATTCATGTGGAGAGTTACGACAGTATTTATAGGGTGAAAAGACGTTTTCTAGCTTCTCTATGTGTTTGATTAGAAACTTTTGTTACGTACTT